CAGGTTTATTATCGGTTGGGAAGTCTTCTCTTGGGAAAAACTTGTTGCATAGGAGCACAGGCCTTAATTACACCAGCAATACTTGTGTTCCGAGTGTTATTCTAACCAGAGTTGAATTGACCTAGCTCGTGCAGTCACAATGAGCGTCTCCCTCTGCCCTGATTTACTACGTGCAGCACGTTGCTTCATTCATCAGCTCTGTTGAACTGAGGCAAGAGAAATGGCAAACGCAGACTTTAACATTTGGGCATAGGGAGACTGTCAAAAGATCCCTGGTTTGGGAAAATGTGTGGATTCAGGTGAAAGCTAAGGATGTGATTAGATCTTAGCACTTCCTACTTGCACAGTGAGCCAAAGTCGTGCTATTCAATAAACTTGCCTTTAAAAGCTACTTTTTATTCTGTAGCCTGCTTTAGATTCTCTCCTGGGGGAAGGAAGATTCTGCTGATAAAACCTTTTTTCCTACTCTTCCTACAGGTAAACTTGAACAGTGCTTCCACCTTACAGTGGCAGAAACAGGAGGCACTTGTAACAAAAGTGTGAGGCCCTCCAGTTTATCAGTTTATTGCCTTTCTCTCTCTCTCTCTCTCTCTTTTTTTTTTTTTTTGTTTTTTTTTTTGTTTTTTTTTAGGCTTATTTAAGTCCTAAAACTCTTAGCTGAGGAAATGCTGTTCTGGCAAAACTGTGAAATCTGCTCTGATTAGCTTTGGCATTTTTTTTGCCATCTCTTTTCTGTCCTCATCTGGGACAGAAGAGCATTACTGCAGTTAATTTGTCGTCTTTTGTAGTGGCATAACTGCTATCCCTGGAACCAGTTCAGCCAGCTAATGGCTTTTAGAAATAAAGTACTAAGGATGTATTCTTAATCTGTGAAGCTAAAAATTCAAGATGTAAACTGCTTGGGTTGCTGAGTACATTAATATTGGTACAAATGAACACTGCAAGTCCTAATGATAGCAATTAGTATTTTGTCTGATACCTGGGTCTGTCTTAATGCTCTGAGAATTAAAAACAAATCCTCCAGTGGAGATTTTTCCCCCCATGCTTTTTAGTGTGCTCATAAATTGGGTTTTTAGACTGCTTGTAAAATAATCCTGTGTCTTGTGAAGCTTTTGTAGGGGGAAGGTTCTCTTAAGGAAATAAAACCAGCTTATCTACTCTCCTCTAATGGGAAGGGAAACCTTTTTTTTTTTAATGTCTTTACAAATAGGCAGGTTATTGTCTTACATGAAATTCTGTCCTGTAGATAGGCCTAAAATCAGGCCAGCTTGTTGTCTTTAGCCAAGCTTGGAGAGTGGTAATAGCAGGGGTGAATGGATGCCATAATCCTGCAAAGCTGGAAGTGCATCCCTTCTTACTGAATGTTTCTTTTGGCTGAAGTTGATTAGGAAAAAACCCAACAACCTTGTTTTTTACTCTGTTATGAGCAGCTCCTTCAGGGCTGCAGGGGAAGGGATTCAAATGGCTTTGCTGAATGTAGGCAACATATTTATTACCCCCGCGTCCTCCCTGTGAAATGAGGAAGTGGTGCAGGACCGCAGCGGTGAGGCTGCAATCACATGTTGCTGGGTGTAATAAAAACAGAGTATGTTTGAATGCAACCTTCTAAATGCCCTCTGGTTTTTTGGGGATTAAGTTAGTGATTCGAAAAGCAGAGGTCTCTAATATCTTGCTGGATACTTTGGGGCAAAGAGGCACTTTAAAAACACTGAGTGCTTAGGTAGCCAGGGAGCTGAGAAATGTATTTTGTTGCTAACTCATCTACCATGCCAATGTTCACTGTTTTTTTAATTGCTTTTTTTTTAGTATCCTCCTAAGTTGATCAATCTCATCCTTCAAACTCTTGTGAGCATGAAATGACTAAAGAAGGAGACAGTGAGAAATACAGAGAGAACTTCACCCTGGCAAAACTCTTTGTGATCTCAGATTGGTTTTTTTTTTTTTAAAGCAAGAAAGGGAAAGAAATTCTTCAATGGCTTAGAATGGACTTTGTGAAAATCTTGTCGTATTTGTTCAGAACTTGACCCTACCATTGAGTTACCAGATGTCAGTGCCGGTGTGCACGCTTCTAGCTTGGGGTAAACTGAAGGTAGAATATTTTGTCTTGCATCTTGGTAACGGAAAAGTGAGCAGAGGTAGAGGCATGCCTGTACAGTAGGCTAAGAGCAGGAGCGTGGCTGCTGCTTGTTCACCCGTGATGTCTTTGTTGTGCACCCGAGACTTTTTTGCTGGTTATCTGGCTGAGAAAATACCTTTGTGCCGCTGGACACTGGGGTTACTGTGGTGTCAAGTCCCATCTGCGCTTGGCTTGAGGTCACCTGTGGTTTGGGGTCAAGCGGTCTGAATTCACAGACCAGAGCACTGGTTTGATGGGCTCTCAGAAAAGAGAGGATGGAAGGGCTTTTCCGAGGGTTTGCTTATTCTCCTTGTGATAGAATGCAAGATTTGCCTCTGCTATTCATTGCATCTAGAAAAACTGACTTATTTTTCCCTCCCATCCTAGTGGGAAGCTGATGTGCTGTAGAATGCAGTGGTTTCAGTGGGGAGTGTGTGATTTGACAAAATATGTGGTTGGCTATGGTCTTGTGTCCAGAGCATTTTCCAAAAGTGACATCAGTCTCTTGCCAGGTTTGTTTATTTGAACTTGGCCATTAACTTAAGTGACTGCTGTCTAGAAGGCCATGTTCCATTTTTATTTTGGGCTTATAGTTTCCAGTATCCTCCATCTTCAGGAAAGAAAAAAAAAAGCACAGCTCACTTTATATTTGATGCTGCAGCATTTTCTTGCCATCAGTTGAGAACAGTTATTGAGTATTGAGGCACCAGCACATTCGTGGCTCTGTTTCCATCCTTTAAGTGCAGTCCTAGAACTGGATGGTATCCTGGCATCAGCTCCTAGGCAGTGAACCAAAGTCGCTGTTGTTGGTTAAACAGGCCTTTCCAGGGATTTTTCTGAGAACGTTGTGCAAAATCAATGAAACCTAAGTACCATCCCTGGTTAGTTGGAAAAGATAGCTCTTCCCTTAAATTTTAGGCTTAAATCGACTTTGTGGTGGCTGGATTGGAGGACTGGGCATTACCTAGGACATTGCCTAATTGCCATGGTTTATGTGGCTGTCTTGTTTTTAAGGCTGAAGTAGCTGGTGTATTTTTAAATTACCCTTTGCCAGATGATTGGGAGCTAATTTGACTTCTCATAGCTGAGTGCTGTTTCTTGTGAGGAGACCTGCTTTTCCCCAGTTCAGTCTGTGTCCTTCAGCCTGTGCTAGGACGTGAGTGATATAAATCCTCTGTGATGGGTTGACACTGTTGTTTTGCTGCAATTTTTTAGCTTTATGTTTGAGCTGCTTAATTTTAAAATTCTCTTGCATTACAGGCATTCTACTGCTTTTTTGAAGTAGTGAATATTCATTAGTGGGGTTTTTTTGGTAAGGAATCTTGCCTTTTTCCATTGATTATTTGGAAGAATTTGACTTTTTTTTAGGCTGTTTGTAACCTCTCTACTGGTATTGAAATAATATATTACGCCTAAATGTGACCTTAAAAAAAACCCAACAAAACCCCCCCCTGCTTCTGTTGTTGACTTGACCTAGAAGCGAGATCTGTAGAGAGTGCTGTAAAGGGAAGTTTTAGCAGTTTTTAATTTGGTGGTTTATTTATATCCATCCATAACCCACCAAGACTATGACGGCATATAGGTATCAAGGATGTATTCCTTCCAAGGTTTATGAACAAATCTTTTGAAAGACCTCGTATGCTTTCTCTGTTGTTAGGAGGGTGAAGCTTTGTAGTGCTGATGATTGCCCCCCAAAAAAACCTCCTCAGCAAAACTGGGAAAAGCTGGGCTTCACAGTAGGTTAAAGGAGAGAAGGGCTGGGAAGAGGGCCCTCGGGGGGAGGGAGGTGGCTGAATAAGCTTTAAAAAAAGTAAAGTAAAATGCACAAGCTTTTGTCTGTAATGTGCAACAAACCCCCCAAATACTTATTTTTGGTCATAGCTCCAAACAAGGTGTTATTATTGGAACAGGCTGCCCAGAGAGGTTGTGGAGTCTCCTCTGGAGACATTGAAAACCTGCCTGGACGCTTTCCTGTGTGACTTACTGTAGGTGGTCCTGCTCCGGCAGGGGGGTTGGACTGGATGATCTTTTGAGGTCCCTTCCAATCCCTGACATTCTATGATTACCTGGCTTCTTCTTACCTCGTGAAACCTTTTTCCAGACAATTGTACTGAAGACCCCTGTTTAGGGGGGAAACGATCCTTTTCCCTTGTGTACATCCATTTTCCATTTTCCCTGCCCTGTTCTTCTGAGACCCTTGAAGGGAGTGTGCTTTGAAGATATTGATTAGGTATTTGGGCTCTGTCGTGACACTAATTGCTAGTTTGACATTGTAATTGTTGTTGCATCACAGCTTTCTGGTTTTTTTTTGGCAGCAGCAGTGTTTGTCTCTTCTGTCCTCCCTTTGTATGGAAAGTAGTAATTAGGTCTTAAACTTATGTTTTCTTTAAAAATCCAGCCCTGGGTACTTAATAGACCTATTTTGCTCTATTTTGGTGGTACTTCACAGAGTCACAGAATTGTAGGGGTTGGAAGGGGCCTCGGGAGATCATCCAGTCCAACTTGATGAATAGTGGCTCCTCTGACAGGTGTATTGTAGTAGTTCAGTCTTCACTTGCCACCTAATAATTCCTTGGAAAATATATTGACACAGTCCCTTCCTTGGGTCATGGTAAGATCTGGTGGTGAGTCTTGGGACTGTGAAGCTTGCACATATTATTTGTCTGAATGTTTGAAATCTCACAAGATGTGTATTTTTTTCAGTAGGTCTTGACTAGAGATGAATGACAGCTGTCTCCTACCTCTTCTGTTTACAGGAATTAAGGAAAGCATGGGCTCTGCATACTGTGAAAAGCACCTTTTAAATAGACTCATAGACTTCTTGATGCCCTATTTGTGTGCATTTGAACTTCTCTTGATATCAGTCTAATTTTCTTTTGTGCAGGATGCTATTATTTCCTACAAGGAAATCCTCCAGATGTACTGGGAGAAAGCAACGAGCTTTGTGAATGCCCAATGCGATGGACTTGAGCCCTGGCAACTGATTGGGTTGACGTTTTCTTCTACAATTATAAGCATATGGCTGCATGGTTTTCTCTTTCAGTCCGAGAGTAAGTATTTGAAATGGGGGATTTTCTTCTGTTTGGGGGGAAGAGAGGGGGGACAGAGTTGTTCCTAAATAGTGCAGGGAATGAGGATGAACCAAGGCCAAACAGTTGTTAAAACAGGCCTTCTGCTGACAAATAGTACTAACCCTCTTCCAAATTATGGTTAAGGCCTGTCTGATCAATGAAACACCTCCATTCCTTCAGAGGGTGCGGTAGGCCAGCCTGGAATGCGCCTGCATCTCCTTCTCTTCCCCTCGTCTCCTTTTTGCTTTTGGCTAAACCATTTACTTGTCGCAACGCTCTGTTCTTGCTCAAAACCTAGGGAAGATTATCTGAGAGCTGGGTTCTTGTGAACTTAGTCATTGGTAAAAAGTGTCTGGATAACTCTTGCTCCTGATTGTTTGCCTTCCTGCTGGGGGAGGAGACGTGTTTTTGATTTGATGTTGGAGGCATGTTTCATCCTCAGGATGTTCAAGATAATTGCATGTGGTGGTGGTGTGTGGATTTATCCTTTCTTTTTTTTTTTTTTTTTTTTCCTTTTCTGGTGCATCTTCCTGTTTTGAGCAGTTTCTGATATTGACAGCTCTTCACTGAGATGTCTTATGATGATCGTGCTGTTTTCTCTGGCTGTGTGATGGTCAGAGATAACTACTTTGTTCTCAGAGGAGAACATGTTTCTTTGCAGTTCCCACAGGCCTTAGGGTTACACTCCAGTGGCAGTTTGTTAAAAATAGCTGAGTCTTTAACTTGATGTTTACTTCTGTGCCTCTATTCCTCAACCAGCCTTTTTTCCTTTTAAAGATGGGAGGAGCTGAATAGTGGGAACATCTATGGAAGGAACAAAATGGTATGAAGCTTTTGCTCAGTACAGGGTTATGTTAACTTCTTGGCTGGTATTTGTACTGTTGAACAGTGGTGTTTTTTAACTATTGACTATCTGTTATAAGATCTGATTAGATTGTCTGAATTTTTCAGGGGTTTCCAGTCTTCTCTTACTGTGGAAGTTAATGTAACAGTGTGCACACTGAAGTGTGCAACAGAAATGTTAATGAGCATTTGCTACAGAATGTGCCAAACTGCGATTACTGTCCTTCTGTAGCTTTTCAAAGTATGTGAAATATGTATGAAGTGGTGGGGAAGATGTAGATAAAATTGCAAAGTCCTGAAATGGTTGATTTAAGAGTTTGTTTATTTTTCTCTTGATCTGTCCTGTAACTGCTGGTGCTCTGTTGAAATGTATGTAGGACTCAGAAGGCATTTTTGGTGGCTGTAAAGCATCTGTGTCATCCTGCTTTCATTCCTGCCTTTAGAGGTACCCCGGGAGTTTTCCGGTGTTTGTCATGAGTGGCTTCTCTCATTTCAGTATTTGGACTGTGGTGGAATTTCTGCTCTTCCCACTGTCCATCCCTTTCCCCTGAGTCGCCTCCCATTGCATCATGTGTTTCCTATATCGGATGGACAGACACTGAGTGAATCCTTGTTATGTTATGACTGAACTACTATTTCCTCCTTAGTCTTAGAGCCTGTTTCATGTTGCTGTGTGTTTTCATGTTACAGTACTATTCTGGTTTGAAAGTACAGAAAAGAATTCCCAGAATTATTTTCCCTTTTTGCTGGAGACCTTGGCTTTAGCAAATCCTAGAGTCCCTCTCTTCTCTATAAAATTCCCCATGTGAGTGCAAATTTTCATATAAGTAAGAAAACGAGTCAAGTTATTGATTCCTGAAGATGGCTACTGTTCTGCAAGCTAGATGTTTCTGTGGCCTGGCCCATTTCTGTACTTTATTCTTCGATATACTAACCTGTCTCACCATGTCCCCTTGGTCACTGTGTTATTTTAGCCTGGATCAGAAGTACTGAGCCTGTATCGTCGGCTGTATCAGAAGTATTGAGCTCCGAGTCCATTTTTTTGTTTGTTTGTTTCTTGAGTCGTATTAGGTTAATTTCTGACTTTTGTCTTTCAGGCTTAACATCTCGAATTAAAAAACAGTTCTTTAAACTACTGAGAAAAATGCCATTTGTTGGGGCTATAGTAAGTATCTGAACAACTTTTCTTAATATTAATTATCCCTGGTCCTTGTTTGGGCCTGAATAGTACTCTCTGAGACCTTACAGTTCTGTGCATCTTTGCTGTCGTGTTGCTGTGATCATAAAGATCCAAGGATATAGGTCTGGAAGATCTTCTGCTGCCACTTGGTTTAATGAAAGTAATAATTTCTGCCTAGTCTTTTTGTCATAGTATCACCCTCATAAAATGGAGGTGCCACTGTTTTGTTTTTTTTTTAAACCAAGAATCGGTAGGTAGAATTTTCCAGTAGCGTTTCCTTATCATTAGATTTTAAGAAAATAAATTTATTTATGGAAGAAGGGGACAAGATTGAGCTTGACTTTTTCTTCTGAAACAATGTCTTATTCTTGAGCAAGTGTGAGATAGCCAGATGTTTGTTGTGCAACACAGAAAGATAGTTTTTATTAATCAGATGACTGGCCATGATTAGTCTAGAGCTCAGATACCTGTTAGCAGTAGTTAGCATTATAGCACAAAGATATCAGAAGCTTGTGTAATCATTAAAATGAGACAAGCTTTAATGTTTGGGAGATGGGTTATTTTTGGCATAAAAACTCAAAACTGAAATGTCAGCATGTTTTAGCATGTTAACGACTTAATGATTGAGAAATGCACAGCTTGGTTTATTTTACCTAGTAAATGATGTTATCACACTTGATGATTGCCCTTCTTTCTGCTTGATGTGTTGGCAGATTTACACACTGATTCAGGGGGTCAGGTCAGTTATAGGCAGTTTTATCAAATGAAAGTAGCAGAGAGGAACTTCTTCCTTTTGCTGTGGACGTGGAAGCAGTTCTCATGTGGTGTTCCTTCCCCCCGTCCCCCCCAGCCCTCTGGAAGAACTAGCATCCTGCTTTGATATCATGTTAAGTGCCCCAACTTTCACCATCTGACTTGAGTAGCCTTTGATGAGATGAATTAATGACTTGTTCTCTTCTGCTTATATTTGTTGTCTACCTGTTAGAAAAGGACATCTTCCAGGCCCCTTGTATACAGTCCCTATTTTATCCAGACTTATCTTCTCAGGTCTAGTGCTGTTAAGCTCTCGCATGCCAAAGGACTCCTGGTGTGTCCCATCTGTGTACTGTTGCTGCTCTTTGGTAGGCTGATACCTGATAACCTATCAGTGGCTTACAGGAGGCCTTGACTTTGAGGCATTCCAATGTCCAAAAGTCTTTAAAGATGATGATATCCCAATGCATGTGTTGCCTGAAAGAAGAGTCTCTACTTTGGAATGTGCTTGAGAAGAAGTCTGGGCCTCCCGAATATAAGGTGTGGGTAGGAGAAAAGAAATCTCCTAACTGTGCTTGTAGTGGAGAGTTCTTTATTGTTTCTCTCTATTTTTGTGAGTTTCTAAACTATGTGTATGATGGTAGAGGAGACAAGGTACAGAAGAGAATGCATCTGAAGACTTCTACAAATGAAAACCTGTGACTTAAAAAGGTTTGGTGGATAAAAATGCAGTATTTTTGCCTTGAGCTTTGTTTTCTCGAGCTCAGGAAAGGAATTAAGGAAGAGGCTTAAAGCTCCCACTGCTCACTGGTACCCAGTAAAGAACGTACTCTGTCTGAACCTTGTGGTGGTGGTGTCAGTGCTGTTAAATGAAACGCAGCCAAGCAGCGGCCCAAGTGCCATTCTGCCATCACCCGTAGTGGTTACCTGGCGCAGTTCTGGGCTGTGCCAGCTAGCGTTCCCATAAGCAATTCCCAGTGTGGTTTAGAGACTAGTACATGCCAGTTCACCATTCCAGGCAGCTTGTTTTTAGAGGGAGAGGTGGGTAGGAAGTTGAACTGTCTGACTGTCAACTTTTCCATGCTTTTTGGTCCTAGAACTGAAACAGTTCCGATCTGTTCTGCTCAATAGTATGGATGTAGCTAGTAAGCTCTATCTTGCATGCACTCAACAATGGTTTATAATACGGCCAGTGCCATTGTTGATAGGGTTTTCCTCCTTTCTTTTTAGATTCAAAAGAAGATTGATGAAGCCCTGAATGATGTCACTTCCAGTTTATCCTTCCTGAAAGATGAAAAGGATTATATCAAAGCACTGCCGGAACAAGGCATGAGCCAGCCTGAAGTACTAGAGAAGATGAAAGAGTACAGCTTAAAAGGTATGAATGCGAGTCTGTACTGCGGCAGAGGTAGGTCTCTTTCATAGACATAACATTAAACTTACTCTTAAATGAGATCTAATGACTCCTGCTCATGGGTTTCATCTTAAATATTTCTTCCCTGATGTTCTTTGTTTGCCAGTTTTTGTCTGTTTTCCTTCTGGAAGTGACTAAGATTAGTATTGATGGCTTCTAATACTGTGTTTGGATATTTACACTGAAATTGTGTTCCTTCCCCAAGAGTTCTAGACTGATGATGGAAGTGTTGAGGAGAAGAGAAATATGGAGGAAATTATTTGAATGCATTTTTGATTACATTTCTGAGCAACTGCCTCAATGTTTGACTTCTACCAGAAATGTGTTTTCTGTGAAGCCCCAGGGAATACTCTCAGTGAAAAAAGCCTCACAACTTATAAGCAGAACTTTTAGGGAATTTCCAAAACTGTCTCTCTTAATTGAAGTCATAATGGTTTGCACCTTGAAAACACCATTTAAGGAAGGCGAAGTCATGATGGCTTGAGTCCACATAAGCAGTGTCTGAAACTTAATTTGAGTTGCCTCACTCATCTAAATATCTCCACCCTGATGCATGTACCTATTACTTGTAGTGATCACATTTGAGTGGCTTCCTGTTCAGAGAAGATATGACTGCCCTGCTTCTATCCCAAATTTAAGAAATGCCTTGAATTTTCTGCTACAACAATGCATCTACTCCAAATTCAGAAACAGTTTCACAGTCGAATATCCTGTAACAACTTATTTTTTTCTACTTTTATGAATTGCTTATGTAGCTTCTGTCTGTGTTTTCCCTCAAATGATTATTTCCTTCCTTCACTGGGTGCTTCTTTCCTTTTTTCTTTTCCTATGGCCCTCTCCTTCCCGCCCATGTGCACTCTCCTTGGAAGTTGCTTGGAAATGAGGGTTGGATTGTGACTATGTTCACCCTATATATATGCTTGTGAAGCTGATGCCATTGAGTTTTATGAAGGGGGGGCTAACAGTTAGGAAAGGGAGCAGATAACCAAACAAGCAGAAATACACTGCTGGGGTGTTTGGAGGCAGAAAGTTACTTCATTAAGCACCATTGTGTTGGGCAGTGGGCTGAAACACGGTGGGTTGAAGGTGCCATCGTGTTGGGCTGAAACACGGTGGGTTGAAGGTGCCATCGTGTTGGGCTGAAACACGGTGGGTTGAAGGTGCCATCGTGTTGGGCTGAAACACAGTGGGTTGAAGGTGCCACCGTGTTGGGCAGTGGGCTGAAACACTTTTCAACAGAGTGTGCTGCTGATGCTGTTCCATCCACTGTTTGTTAAAGCTTCAGCAGCATATTGTTTTAGGTGAAATTTATTTGAGGCAAGCCAGCATTGTAGATTTTAGCAATAGAAACTTGGCCTTTCCATCTCTTCTCAGCTTACAGTGGTGATGGGTGCTCTTTGACAGTGGCTTTAACTTTAGCCACTGTAGAGTTCAGTTGGTTGGACAGCAGGTTTGGGAGACTGAGAGGAGATTAAGTGGATTACATATGTTAATATAACTGCTTGCTGCAGCTAGATGTTGTTTATGTGCTGACTCTTTAGTCGTCATTTAGTTGCAGTTTGCTAAGTTCATGGGATACATGATGCCAGAGGCTTAGCATTGCACACAGCTATCTCTCTGGCACAAAAATCATACTAGTTCCTCATCAGCAAAATCTCAAAAGCTGAATCCTCATCTGCAGAACTGGTGGGAGGACTTCTTTGTGCACATCTACATACTTTCTGAGAATGGCCATGTTTGCAAGCATGTGCTCTCTTTCAGGAGATGTACGTTGGCAGGATGGGAAAGTCTCTGGGACTGTGTACAGCGGTGAAGAGAAACTCACCCGTCTGCTAGTGAAGGTAAAGTGCAAGCAGTCTAACTTTGCATCTTTGCAGGTATCCTTAGAATCTTCAGGGTGACCAGAAACCCCTCAACACTATTCCACCATCTTTCAAAATAAATGGCGAAGATCTGAAACTAGGACTGCCCAACTATGAAGACAGAGCCTAGGGGAAATGTAGATGGAAGGGGAATTATTAGTAAAGCATCTGAATAGTGTAAAGCTGGCCAAGTGGCTGTCCCTGCAAAAACACTATGTAGGGAAAACTAGGATCCACTAAAATGAGATGTTGTTTTGATTAAGAAAGTAAGAAGCTGACTACAAGTGAACTTGACACTGGTACTGACTTTCTAATTCAGGGAATGGTAGGAGGCATAAAACTGCCTTAGATCAGCTTCAGCAAGCTCACTGACAGATGTGCCTTTGCTGCAGGCCAGGGTAAAAGCATCCCTGACTGTCCTGTTAGTGGGAGGCTTTGGGACTTTAGACTGGAAGAGCTTCACTGAGCATAACTGAATTCCTCTTGGTTTAATTAAAGAAGTTTGTAAAATCATTTTTTTGGCCATCCAAATCTTACAACAATGGAACATGCTTCAGTGGTGTCTTTGTTAGGTCTGTTTACCTACTCAGGAACTTTTCCCTTTAAGAAGGTTAGAAGGTAACTTGAACAGCCCGAAGTTCTGATTTCAAATGTATTACTTCAAGAGGTTTTTTGCTAGAAAGAGAAGTCTAGCCTTCTTATTCCTGGGAACAGCTTTTTTAATAGCTGTATTGAGCTCTGTTTGATTGTTGCTATTAGTGTTTTCATTGACATTTTCTTTGCCACTTCTGGGGAAACATAAAGATCAGAGCAGGCTTTCTAGAGGGGCCTCAGCTTGGATTGAGTGTTGTGGAAACATTCTCTCTATTTGTGCTGATTATTTGCTGTTTTTTCTGCTGTATTTCTTTTAACATCCCTGCAGTTACTTTTTGATCTTGGCTGCAGGAGGTTGGAGCTGGCCTATTCCAGCCTTATCCCAAGAGCCTGTAGTTGCAGAATGAGCATGAAATACGGGTTTCCACGGCCACTTTTGTTGCCGTGTGAATGGGCAGTTGGGCTTTTCTAGCTGCTTCAGATTTCACCTTTAATAGTAAACTTGAAAACTAGTTCTGGAAAGTAATTTTTTTGGCCTGCTTTATGTAAAGCAATCACAGGGTGTGTATTGTGTGCTTTTTAAAAAATAGCTAAACAATTCAACCTGTCTTTACTAAAAGTAATATTGTTATGTTAATAGCATCACTCCAGAGGTCAGAATGCCCTAGAAAAACAAGTGAGGGTTTTTTTTTTTAATCTCTCAACTGTAGCTAC